TGTTTATTTTCTAAACCTGAAATGTCTTTCTAATTTACACATTTTAAAGACATTTTTCTTCAGTTAATAATGGAAAAAAGACTGCATAGACTTTGTTAAAACTGTAGGACTCTTGGCCTTTAGAGATGGACAGGATAGCAGGTAGCACCTCTTAGAAAAGTGTCTTGACCTTGCTGGAGCTTAAGTTGAGATATAATGTTTGCATTTTTTATACCTTAACTCTATTTTCCATGAACCTTCTGAAGTCTTCCTGTATCAATGCCTAGTTTAATTCCATTGCCCTCAACAAATATACTCTATGATTTCAGTCCTCTTAATTTTGTTGGCATAAGTTGTATTTCTTAGAATAGCATGTAAAACAACAAATTTATTGACATATAATTCATGTACCACACAATTCAATGGGTTATATTAGTAAGACTTGTGCATTCCTCCACACAATTTTAGAATATTGTTTTCATTCTTGCATCCATTATCATTAGCTCCCCATTTCCTTCCAACCTCCACTGCTGTAACCCTAAGAAAGTATTAATCTGGTTACTACCTCTATAGATTTACTTTTCCTGAATTTCACATAACGAGTATCATACAAAAAACATCCTAACAGCCACAAATTAAAACACAGAAACCTCTCAATTCTGAAGAAAGCAGACATTTAAAAAAAGTGGAACAAGTTAAAGATGGGTCTGAAGGGGAAATGAATGGTAACAGGTTAAATTTTAAATTAAGTCTATGTACAGTAATTCACTTTACAGAGCAATCTGAGGATAAGACTATTCAGACCCTTGACCAACGGACCAAGAGAATTCAGTGGAGGCTTAATTTTTTAAAATCGTTTTATTAGGGGCTCATACAACTCTTATCACAATCCATCCATACATCAGTTGTGTAAAGCACATTTGTACATTCATTGCCCTCATCATTCTCAAAACATTTGCTCTCCACCTAAGCCCCTGGCATCATCTCCTCATTTCCCCCCCTCTCTCCCTGCTCTCCCCTCCCTCATGAGCCCTTGATAATTTATAAATTATTATTTTGTCATATCTTGCCCTGTCTGACGTCTCCCTTCACCCACTTTTCTGTTGTCGGTCACCCAGGGAGGAAGTCACATGTAGATCCCTGTAATCGGTTCCCCCTTTCAATCCCACTCTCTCTCCACCCTCCCGGTATCACCACTCTCACCACTGGTCCTGAAGGGATCATCTGTCCTGGATTCCCTGTGTTTCCAGTTCCTATCTGTACCTGTGTACATCCTCTGGTCTAGGCAGATTTGTAAGGTAGAATTGGGATCATGATAGTGGGGGTGGGGGAGGAGGAAGCATTTAGGAACTAGAAGAAAGTTGCATTTTTCATTGTTGCTACATCACACCCTGACTGGCTCGTCTCCTTCCTGAGACTCTTCTGTAAAGGGATGCCCAGGGGCCTGCAAATGTGCTTTGGGTCTACACTCCGCACTCCCCCCCTCATTCACTATGATAAGATATTTTGTTCTGATGATGCGTGATACCTGATCCCTTCGACACCTCGCTTCTTCCATGTGGGCTTTGTTGCTTCTGAGCTAGATGACCGCTTTTTTACCTTCAGGCCTTTAAGACCCCAGACGCTATATCTTTTGATAGCCGGGCACCATCAGCTTTCTTTACCACATTTGCTTATTCACCCGCTTTGTGTCGGGAAGGTGAGCATCATAGAATGCCAATTTAATAGAAGAAAGTATTCTTGCATTGAGGGAGTACTTGAGTGGAGGCCCAGTGAGTGGAACCTTATTTTATATGGGAGCTCTGTAAAGGGATTTGAGGCTTTCCCAATCAAGTATAGCCTTCTGCAAACCGGTGCTCAAATTTTAGGCGAATACAGCCCCTACTCCACCTTCGCACCCCCATAGATCATGGATTTAATTATTAAATTTTATATCACAAAAATTATATTAATTTTTATATGGTATGCTTCTTCTGTGTGCACTTACCTGAAGAATAGTATATATCTTAATGAACGTACATTCTGCTGTGGTTGAAAGGGAGGTATTATAAATGCCAGTTTGGCCAAATTGGTTGTGTGGCTGTGATAGTGAACCGTGTGGCTTTAAAACATGTAATAGTACCCTTGCCTCTCTATCTGTAAATGTGATCCTATTTGAATTCAGTGCTTTTGTTGTGTTATTTTAGTGTGGTCATTCCAGAATATCATGGGTCTTAAATCTAGTTTCTTCTGCTTTAAGAGCAGAATATGTACAGACCCACTTGGGGAAGACAGACACCAAGAACACAGAGGTTGCAGGGAGCCATCAGAAAGTAGGAGAGTACCATAAATGACTTCGTGTCTCAACAATTGTGTGGAAATAAATTCTTGTTCTGTATAAAACCGAAAAACCAAAACTCCCTGCCATTGAGTGGAGTTTGACTGAAAGCAACCTTTTACAGCAGAACTGCCCCTATGATTTTTGACACTGCACATCTTCACAGGAGTAAAAAACCTCATCATTCTCCTGTGGTGGGGCTGGTGTTTTGAATTGATGACCTTGTGGTTAGCAGTGCAGCCCTTAGCCCACGAGACTCACAGCACATGTCGTCCTCATGCATTACAGATAGGAAGTTCAGTGGGAATTTGAAGAGATGAAGGAACAATCATTTCTAGCTGGGTACATTGGCAAGAGAGTTGATTTCAGGTATGCTGCTTGGTATCCTTTTACCCACCCAGGCACCGTTTTTTATACTCTTTTAAAGAAAAAAAAAGGTTGTGGAAAATATATGAGTGGGCTTTGAAAAGTTGGTGGGAAATTTCCACATCTTTTTAGCCTTTTTTCCCATAGATTTTTTTGAAGCCACTTTTTATATTCCATTCCTTTAACATATTTTTTTGTAGTTGATTTCTTGTTGAGCGTATATGTGTATGTGTACGTATTCGTATTTATATTTTTAATGCAATCTGTCTTTAATAGGTGTGTTTAGAACTTTGACATTTAACGTAGTCATTGAATTTTGTGGTTTAAGTTTGTCATCTTGCTATTTTCCATTCTTTTTTTGTGTTCTTTGTTTCTCATTGTCTTACCTTCTTTTACATTGAGTGTTTTTAATTTTTTGCATTTAATTTCTACTCTTAGGTAATCGCCCACTGCTGTGCCAATTTATATTCACATATTGCTGTAAAAAATATTAGTGCATTTACAAACATACATCCTGGAGGTGGGGTGGTAGTGGTTAGCAAACAAATGTAGAAGATCCCACCCTGTAAGTAACGTGAAAATATAGTTTGTGTCTGTGCTAGGATTTGTTAAACTTCTTATTCCTTCAGTTTTCTAAGTTAGAAAGATTTTGACAATTATTTTTATAAATATATATATTTTCCTGATCCGTTCCTTGCAGTTTGTTCTTCTCACTGGAACTCCACAGTTCATTAAACCTTTGTTCTATTAGTGAAGTCTTTTTCTACTTCCTCTGCCTTGATCTCTTGGTACCTTCCTAGGAAATTTAGGAAATTCATCTCAGAATTGTCAGTCAAGGGAACAAAATAGAAAAGCATTTACTCCTGTTTTTATGGGCTCTGCACTAATGGATTGAATGATTGCACCTTCTGGTGTCTCAGATTTTAGGGTAGCCTTAGAAATGGCAGTAACATTTGCCTGCACTAGTTCTCCATACCAGAGGCAAGAGTAAGAGGTAGGCCTGAGAGACTGAGGAAAGAGAGTGACCGAAGGCACTGCCATAATACCCTAAAAGATGCCAATGTTTCCCCAGATAGCTGTAACAGGAACTCTGCAAACAGTGGCTTTACAGAACAGAATTTGAATTTCCTAGTTAGAGAGGCTATAAGTCCCATTCGTCTGATAGTTTGGTCAGTAGCCTTGCTGATCCTTTGTCTCTGGGTGATCCTTATATGCCATCTGTCATTTACGTATGTGCATTAGTCTCTGTGTAGATTTGACTCCTTTTATAACTGTGAAGTGATTATGTTTGGGATCCCCCTATACATTGATATGACCTCACCTGATGAATTGATTACATATGTCACATTAGAGTGCATTGTAAAAGGTAATCATGTTGGATTGCATCCACAGGTATTTTGGCAGGACAAGGTTTCTTTTTCTTCCTTTCTCTTACCTCTTGTTTCTCTTTATTCCACTGCATTAAAAGAAAAAAGTGTCCCACTTCTACAGGTATTATTTAAATGCCTCCTTGATTTGAAACTTTATTATTTGGATAATTTAATTATGTGAGACAGAATAAGACATTGTATTCCAGAGTCGAAATGTATTCTGTATTAAAAGTTAAAAAAAAAGTTTAAAAGTATTTTCTATGCCACTGTGAGGGATCATGGATATAGGGTAAAGAGGTACCTGCGAGAGGAAATGTGTAGGCTAGGGACCTCTGGGTTAGATTACCTGGTATAGATCCTAGTTTCTCTACTTATTATGTAACATTCAGAAATTTATTTTCTAACATTCAGAAACTCAATCTATTTGAAAAATAAGGATAATGATCAAACTCATTGCCATTGAGTTGATTGTGACCCAGAGTAACCCTATAGGACAGGGTAGAATCACCCACGTGGGCTTCTCAGACTGTAGCTCTTTATGGGAGTAGAAAGTCTCATCTTTCTCCCAAGGATAATGATAGAACCCCTCTAATTGGATTATTATGAGAAGATACAATGAATTAGTAGATAGAATTAATTTAGAATAACAGACTAGCTAGTAAACTTTTTTAAGTGGTTGTATTACTTTTATAATTTTGTCATTGATTTGACCGAAAATTTATAATCAGTTGAACAGAATAGATGCACGTGAATGTATGTATTGATATTTTAATATGTATTTTTGTTTCAGTATTTTGAAAGTTTCCAAATAGTGAAAGATTTAAAAATTAACCACCAAATTACATGTCTACTTGATATAATACTGTTTTAAAATATGTTGAAATACTTATCTCTTTTCTTAAGATTTAATTTAGTATACATTTTTTGTGCACGCTATTTATTGTTATTAAAAATTTTTTTTAATATAGGACCAAACAATCGCAGATCCCTATAAATGAAGGTATATTTGAACTTCCAAATCTTACAATTCAAGCTACAAGAGCACAAACCCTTCTGCTGCAAGCAATATATCAAAGTTGGTCTCATATTGGCAATGTCAGCTCTTCAGCAGTGAATGAAGCTTTGATGAATGAAGTCTTCCAAAGTGCAGGTAAGGGCATAATCTTCTTGACAAGTATATGGAAACTTCTTATTAGAGATGACGAATATTTTATCATTCAAATCCGTAAGTCTAGCATGCCAACTTAATGAAGTGTATTTTTGTGAAAGGGAAGGTAGTGATAGCTCATGTGTAAAATCCAGGGTGGGAGTGAAGCTGTCCAGTTTTGTTCCATGGCACCGATCGCTGAGATGTATTTATAGTTGAAGAGTGTTATTTTTTTACCAACTCCTTGTACATTTACACTCAGCCTTGCATAAATAATTTATGAGGGAAGAAGTGTATGTTTGAAAAGATAAGTAGGACATATTTTAATACAATATGCTCGATTTTTCTGGTAAAGCAAAATACAAATTTTGCTGATAATACTTTAAGAGCTAGTACAAAGTTTTCCTATTTGTATGAAAAATTTAATTGTAAAGCCTGAATGACTTACTTCACTAACAAAAATTTCAATTATCTTTTGCAATTACTGTTAGGTATAAAAGTATCCTCACCTTGCCACTCAGTTTACAGATTAAAAACTTAGTTATTTTACTTCAAAGTGACATTAATTTTGTCACTAAAACAAAATAGTCTCACTAAGTTAGTGTAATCATGTTAAAGTAATACTGTTTAAATTTTGTACTTTGTCTATAAAATATTTTATTGTTTTTATATGGTGCTTTTGAAAGTTTTATTTTAGACCTTAATATGGGGCATTATATGTTAGACTCTTTAAAAATGTATTGTAAATTAGAATCTTCTGATTTGATCTAGCCAGTGATTAACATAAAATTTTATAATTGTTTTACCAGGCTTTAGGGTTTTATAAAGAATGAGAAGAGAAAGGTTCTGTTAGGCTGAAAACTTTAACTTGGGATTTACAGCATGTCTTTGCGATTCTTCAAATCTCCAGAAATAGTATACACATTTTATTCTGTGTATATGCACATGCATCCATGCACACATGTATATAATTATATATATGTGTGTGTGTGTGTGTGTATACATACACACATACATACACACATCTTTCTAGCCTACTGTTCAATTGATTTTATAATTAAATGTAGTGACTCTATCCCTCACAAATTATTTTATTGACATAGCTACCATTAGCTTTCCTATTTGCCTATGCTACCTCCTCATTCTTTCACTTAAAACCTATCTATGTATTCATGCTTTAGGTGTAGTTCTTCAAAATAGCATATAGGTGGGTATTTTTAATCAAATCATACAATTTACCTTTTAGTCTAAAACGTAATGCTTATAGTGGGATTATCGTTCTTTGACCATGCCCTTATTAAACTGTTTTATGTTACTTTTTGTACCATTTTTGCTGTGCTTCATTTTTTGTAATCTCAATTCTTTCTGTTTTTGTCTTTTTGTCTGTTTAAATTATTCTTTTTAATAAAATGTTAATTAAAAATAACTGATTCTACTTTGGAAAAGTTAGATAATTATTTAAAGAGTAAATATAGTTACTTTATAACCCAGAGTTTCCATTTCTAGATCTATGCCCTTGAGAATTGAAAATCTATGTTTACACAAAATTTTGTACATGAGAAGTCAATAATTGCCAAAATGTGGAAATAGCAGAGTTGTTCATTAGTTGATGAATGGATTAACAAGCTACTCTATCCATAAAATGCATTCAATTTATTTGTAAAAAGGATTGAAATACTGATACATACATACTGTAGAATCTGTGTGAAGTTTGAGAACATGCTAAATGGAAGAATCCAGACCATGAAGATCATATATTGTGTGGTTCAATTTGCTTAGAATAGGCAAATTTCTATAGATAGAAAAAAGTAAGTGGGGAAGGTTGGGAGGTGAGAGAGTGAGCCATAACTGGTACAGATGTTCTTTATAGAGTTGTAAAAAGGTTATGGGGTTAAGTAGTGATGACAGTTAAAATCTTAAGTTCTTTTTATTTTCTGGGTGAGTTTATGAGGATTGAAGAAAATATCTGTGTAGAATTATATGTTCTTCAGTGCTGCAATGATGAGTCCTACATCCCTAATGCTAACAGAAGCCAAAATACAGTTAATAGAATAGAAAAATAAAAATTAAAAGTTTTATATGAATGCTTCTTATAGATATTATTTTGTGCATTGAATTTCATTAATCCGCATGTGATACAGGTAATAGGGTAGTGAACAGCTTGCTACCTCTGTCAGGCATATAAAGTATTTTCAGTTTTCAGCTATAGACATTTCGGAGAATTCATGGAAGTTGTGCATGAAGATATTGATTCCTTCAAAGCCACTATATTTCTTTGAGTTTTAGTTAATTTTGTCAGTTGTAAAATGATAATGATATTTTCATATCTACTCCTAGAGTTCTTCTCAGTGTCTAGTATGGTATAGTTTTTTGATTTATTTTGCTTTTCTTTGTGTCCTGGACATGAGACTCTGTTGTAGTCATCCATTTGGGCATGTTACCAGTGGAAACGCTTCTAGGACATAAGGTTCCTGAAACTGAGATAATCTCTGTAGTGGAATCTAGATGATAGAGTCGGTTAGCTGAGAAGATAATAGTTGGTGTCAAGGGAAAGGGACCAGATTTCAACCCAGTGCTCCAAGATGTGAATGCAATATACCAGCATGAAGCAGGGAGCCAGTAGACAGGTCTGAGGAGCTGCCCCCAATCCCAGCTATGTGGACAGCCGCCTCTCCTCCCAGAAGAATTTATTTCAGAGGACAGCACTGAAGCTACAGCTCAGGGAGAGAGACATATCTGATTAGAGTACACGGAAGCAAATGAAGGTGGGGAAAGAGAGAGTGGAGCACATCCTGGCCTACCAAGCCTTGAGGACCATATCCCCACTCAGAGCAGCCAATGCACAGAGAGGACCATATGGCCGGCCCTACTACGAAACACAATATCCCTAATTGACCCATAACCCTAGAGGGGACAACACTGGAGACACCGTGTGGGAATTGCACCTGATATGACCCCACCATACTGAGGCAAAGCACTAAGGGCATGCAACAGAACAGCAAGGGGAACAGAGCAAGGAAGTCCCAAGGGAATACCAAAAATAGACTTTTGGGCCATGGTGTGGCACCCCATCAGACTTGACCAGAAAACAGTGCTAAAGGTCAACAAACAGACCTTGAACTATTTACAGGCTTTTCTTTTTTTGTGTGTCACTGGTTGTTGTTTTACTTTTGTTGCTTTGTTTTGCTCTGTCTTGTTTTTGTGCACATTGTTATCTCTACAGGTCTATCTAGATAAGATAGGCAGGACAAAAAATCTGGAGGAGAAAACTAAGGGACCTACAGTTCTAGGGGGACATGTGAGAGGAGGATGTGGGGGAAAGGAGTGGTGTTATCAAACCCAGGGACAAGGGAACAACAAATGATCTAAAATCAATGGTGAGGAGGGTGTAGGAGGCCTGGTTGGGCTTGATCAAGGGCAATGTAACCGAGAGGAATTACTGAAACCCAAATGAAGGCTGAGCATGATAGTGGGACAAGAGGAAAGTAAAAGGAAATAGAGGAAAGAACTAGGAGGCAAAAAAAAAAAAAAATTAAAAAAACCAAAGAACAAAGAGGTAAAGGGCATTTATAGAGGTCTAAATATAGGCATGTACATATGTCAATATATTTATATGTAAGGATGGGGAAATAGACCTATGTGCATATATTTATAGGTTTAGTATTAAGGTAGCAGATGGACATTGGGTCTACTCAAGTACTCCTTCAATGCAAGAACACTTTTTGTTTTATTAAACTGGCATTCCATGATGCTCACCTTCCCGACACAATTGCTGAAGACAAAGTGGGTGCATAAGCAAATGTGGTGAAGAAAGCTGATGGTGCCCGCCTATCAAAAGATATAGCGTCTGGGGTCTTAAAGTCTTGAAGGTAAACAAGTGGCCATCTAGCTGAGAAGCAACAAAGCCCACATGGAAGAAACACACCCGCCTGTGTGATGATGAGGTGTTGATTTGATCAGCTATCAGGCATCAAAGAACAAAAAATTATACTATTGTGAATGAGGGGGCGTGCAGAGCAGAGACCCAAAGTAACCAGGCATCCCCTTACAGAAAGGTTGCGGGGAGGAGATGAGCCAGTCAGGGTGTAGTGTAGCAATGATGAAACATACAACTTTCTTCTAGTTCTTAAATGTTTCCTCCCGCCCCCCCAACCCCCAGCCCACTATCATGATCCTAATTCTACCTTACAAATCCAGCTAGACCAGAGGGTGTACAGTGGTACAGATAGGAACTGGAAGCACAGGGAATCCAGGACAGATGAACCCCTAAGGACCAGTGGTGTGAGGCGATACCGGGAGGGTGGAGAGAAAGAAGGTGGGGTAGAAAGGGAGAACCGATCACAAGGATCTATGTATAACCCCCTCCCTGGCGGAAGGACAACAGAAAAGTGGGTGAAGGGAGCCATCGGACAGTGTAAGACATGACAAAGTAACAATAGTTTATAAATTATCAAGGGTTCATGAATGGGAGGGGGTGAGCGGGGAGGGAGGGGAAAATGGGCTGATACCAAGGGCTTAAATAGAAAGCAAATGCTTTGAGAATGATGATGGCAACAAATGTACAAGTGTGCTTGACACAATGGTTGTATGTATGGATTGTGATGAGTTGTATGAGTCCCCAATAAAATGATTTAAAAAAAAATGTTAGAGTAAAAAAAAGTTGTCAAATTCAAAGGGCAAGGCAAGAAAGCAAATAAGAATAGTGAGTAGTGAAATTGATGGGAGCAGAACATATTTAAGACTGATACTCTGTAAAGAAAGTGCGCACTGGTGAGCTCTCAACATTTTTCTTTATGAGAGGCTATGCCAGGCTCAAAGAAACCTGTTATGAATGATAATGATGGCTTATGCTAGGGGTTACAAGGAGAGCACAGTAGTAAATCTGCAAATGAATATGACAATATAGTGGGATAGAATAAGTGTGAAATCCTCGTTTTTCATGTACTCTTCATACACTGTACTGCAGTCTTCTTAGCATGTTTTATCTAGTGAGCTGTATAATA